TCAGAGTCAGATGATTCAATATCTTGACCAGCCTGGTTAGACAGGAACTATGTTAGTCACCTTCTGCCTTGCTCTTCTACCTCCCCTCTTCTTCTTCCTTCTCAGCTGCTCACCATATAACTGGTGGAAAAAGATGTGCTTCATGGCAATGAGGTTATGCAGCATCAAGCAGATAAGAACAAATCTTAACATGGAAATGTATTGCTTAAGCTCCCCAGTGGTCAGTTTGATTACATTTTGTGTGGCAACATGGTTTTCTTTATATAGATGCTTCCTGGCATTCCAAAGACATGAGTTGAGTAGTCCTTGTCACCTGGAATCACCCTCTGATTTGTCCTGGTAGCTCAAGTAATTCCTGAAGATCAAAGTCATCATAATTGTTGCCAGGATACTGGGTAATATCTGGATGACTTATCATATATTGGCACAAACCAGTTGGATGTTGCGGGAGTGGAATCCCTGTCAGCTGGGGCACTTCTCAGAACTGACATGTGGTGCCTGCAAAGAGTTATACAATCATTTGACGGCACTGTGTAGCATATCCTACTAAAGCAGTACACTTGCTTCACCTGATTCTCTCACGTAAGAAAGATTGAAATGTATTCAGCCCTCTTATAATGCAGAGCCTCAGTGACTTCCCTTAGACAACGGTGGATGGCAAACTGAGAAAAGTGGCAGATATTGCTTATTGTGGACTGGGAACAGCCAGGAACATTAGAACTCATGACCACAAATGACAATGAGAACCACAGGCAATGCTGTCCTATCACTTTTCTCAGCTTCAGTTGTGGCATATTTCAGTGATGACGTCCAATGTAAATTGGAGATGCCAGACAAGCTGTTAATTGCTGACTTTCAGGTAGGAAATTGTTCCTGGTACACAATGGGAGGGAAGGAGCTCCTAAGAACTTTCCTTTTGTCCTTCTGCCATACCTTTTCCAGCAGCTTGTGTTGCTTCTTCTGTCATGTTCAATTAAAAAGGTTGAAAACCACTGCACCCAAATTTGGGAGAAACTGCAAGGTACAGAATCTTTGAATTGAGGGTAAAGTTCTGCAGCATGGGCCACATAACATCCTATCAACTTCAGCAACTTTAAACAATTCTGGAACCACTGAAGCTTTCTACACTCTCAACAAGAGCCAGGAGTAATCAATCAGCAACTAACCTGAAAGTAGGTGATGCTACCTTCAATAGCGCTGGTCAGGAGATCCTCCCAACTACCAAACATATGTTCAGCTGTGTGAGCTTACAGGATTGTTAGCTGCAGTGTCGAGTTCAAAAATGGCAGTGTCCCATCAAATTAATGTTACATACTGACTGAGGTCACAGTCTGTCTAGTCTACATACTTTGGGCAGACATTGCAAATGCTTTCACCAATGTAGAATCTATTGTGATCAGCAGAAGGAATGTGTGCTGTCATCATGGATGCTGGTTTGGGGAATAAACAGCATCTACAGTGCTGAAAAAGAGACACCAGACATCTAATTTTATAAGCCAGTATGTTCTCCTACCTGTCTTTCAGTGAGATCCAAATTTACTGCTATCTCGTATCTTCTCAGTCTGGTCAGATAGTTGTGGTGAGCAAACTCAGCTTCCAATTCCCGAATTTGTTCTTTAGTGAAGGCTGTTCTTTCCTTTCTGGGTTTGCTGTTCATCTCTCCTTTGTAGCTGCATTCTTGTGTCTCTAAAACCAGGATCACAATAATTTTGATTTAGATTTCTCATAATTGTTAAAAAGGCAAAAAGCGTACTTTAAATTTCAGGAGATAATTTGCATTTTTATAATACCCTTTGCAATCTCATGACCTCCTCTCAAGTGCTTTACAAAAAATTAAATATTTTAAAAGTAGTCACTGTTGTAATTTGGGAAACAGAACATTGTGCACAGCAATATCCCATAACGGTAATGAGTTAATGTTCAGACAATCTGTGATGATATTGTTTGAAAGATGAAAGTGGGCATAGTTGATGAGGACAGCATTTGTTTCCCGAGCCAAATTGAAATTCAGATGAACAGTAGTTTAGCTCATTTCCGAGCAGATATATTGCTTTAGGCCAGAGTTATGTGTAAGGTAGAAAAGGTAATGGCACAGATTTCCTTCATAAAAGATATTAATGAAGCAGATGGGTTTTTACAATAATCAGTGATAATCATCATGGCAACATTACTTAGAGTAGATTTATGCTCTGTTTCTTTTTAATCAGTTGAATTCAAATTCTATTGGTTATCATTATGGGATTTAAACTTATGTCCACAGGACATGTGACTGGGCCTCGGTTACTATTCCAGTAACAATACCATTCCACCCAAAAAGGATAGAAGAGGCTCAGTTTATTTTATACAAATAATTGGCCTGCTACACTTTTGAAAGACAGACATTGAAGGGTATAATATTTGCAACAAAAAGTTAGATGCCTATAAAGCAACAAAAATGAATTGTAGATAACAAGGTGTAGAGCTGGATGAACACAGCAGGCCAAGCAGCATCAGAGGAGCAGGAAGGCTGACGTTTCGGGCCTAGACCCTTCTTCAGAAATGGGGGAGGGGAAGGGGGTTCTGAAGTAAATAGGGAGAGAGGGGGAGGCGGATAGAAGATGCATAGAGGAGAAGATAGGTGGAGAGGAGACAGACAGGTCAATGAGGCGGGGATGGAGCCAGTAAAGGTGAGTATAGGTGGGGAGGTAGGGACGAGATAGGTCAGTCCAGGGAGGATGGCCAGGTCAAGGGGGCGGGATGAGGTTAGTAGGTAGGAGATGGGGGTGGGGCTTGAGGTGGGAGGAGGGGATAGGTGGGAGGAAGAACAGGTTAGGGAGGCGGGGACGAGCTGGGCTGTTTTTGGGATGCGGTAGGGGGAGGGGAGATTTTGAAGCTTGTGAAGTCCACATTGATACCATTGGGCTGCAGGGTTCCCAAGCGGAATATGAGTTGCTGTTCCTGCAACCTTCGGGTAGCATCGTTGTGGCACTGCAGGAGGCCCAGGGTGGACATGTCGTCTGAGGAATGGGAGGGGGAGTTGAAATGGTTTGCAACTGGGAGATGCAGTTGTTTAGTGCAAACCAAGCGTAGGTGTTCTGCAAAGTGGTCCCCAAGCCTCCGCTTGGTTTCCCCGATGTAGAGGGGGCCACTATGGGAACAGCGGATGCAGTATACCACATTAGCAGATGTGGAAAGTCTTCTTGGGGCCTGGGATGGGGGTGAGGGAGGAGGTATGGGGGCAGGTGTAGCACTTCCTGCGGTTGCAGGGAAAAGTGCCGGGTGTGGTGGGGCTGGAGGGGAGTGTGGAGCAGACAAGGGAGAGAGAGTGGTCCCTCCGGAAGGCAGATAAGGGCGGAGAGGGAAAAATGTCTTTGGTGGTGGGGTCGGATTGCAGATGGCGGAAGTGTCGGAGGATGATGCGTTGGATCCGGAGGTTGGTGGGGTGGTACGTGAGGACGAGGGGGATTCTGTTTTGGTTGTTATTGCGGGGAGGAGGTGTGAGGGATGAGTTGCGGGAAATGCGGGAGACACGGTCGAGGGCGTTCTCGACCACTGAGGGGGGGAAGTTGCGGTCCCTGAAAAATGAGGACATCTGAGATGTACGTGAGTGGAATGCCTCATCCTGGCAGCAGATGCAGCAGATGCGAAGGAATTGGGAATAGGGGATGGCATTTTTGCGGGAAGGTGGGTGGGAGGAGGTGTATTCTAGATAGCTGTGGGAGTCGGTGGGCTTGAAATGGATATCGGTTTCTAGATGGTTGCCAGAGATGGAGACAGAGAGGTCCAGGAAGGAAAGAGAGGTATTGGAGGTGGTCCAAGTGAACTTAAGGTTGGGGTGGAAGGTGTTGGTGAAGTGGATGAACTGTTCGAGCTCCTCATGGGAGCACGAGGCAGCGCCAATACAGTCATCAATGTAACGGAGGAAGAGGTGGGGTTTAGGGCCAGTGTAGGTACGGAAGAGGGATTGTTCCATGTAACCTACGAAGAGGCAGGCATAGCTTGGGCCCATGCGGGTACCCATGGCCACCCCCATTGTCTGTAGGAAGTGGGAGGAATTGAAAGAGAAGCTGTTGAGGGTGAGGACGAGTTCGGTTAAGCGGATGAGGGTGTCAGTGGAGGGGGACTGGTCGGGCCTGTGAGACAGGAAGAAGCGGAGGGCCTTTAGGCCATCTGTATGGGGAATGCAGGTGTATAGGGTCTGGACGTCCATGGTAAAGATGAGGTGTTGGGGACCGGGGAATTGGAAGTTCTGGAGGAGGTGGAGGGCATGGGTGGTGTACACTTACCGGCATTATTAACTCCAACATGTTGGCATACAGATAGTTAAAACTAAATCTTATCCAAGAAGTAAAGTCACAAATATGGGAATTAATCATATATTGTACCACAACAATATCAAATATTGAAGTTAAAGTGAAATTATTCAAATGAATTATTCATCATTAATAAATTCCCTTAATGACAGAATTCTGTGCACATGCAAAGACGGACATACAAACTTGGAATAGGAGTAGGTCACCCAAGCGTACTCACCATTCAATAATGATCATCACGGTTAATTTGATTATTCCATAATCCCACCAACCCCAATAATGTTTCACCTCTTACTAGTCAAAAATCTAACTAATCCTGCCTTAAAATGTTCAAAGACTCTGCTTCCATTGAGTTTTGAGGGAGAAAGTTCTGAAGACTCACAAATTTGTGTGGGAATAAATTTTGTCCCATCTCGGTCTCAACTGGACTATCCCTTATTTTTAAACAGTGACCCCTTGTTTTAGATTCTTCCATAAGACGAAACATCCTCTCCAAATTCAACCTATTAAAACCCCTCACAATCTTATATATTTCAATCAGATTGCCTCTTATTCTACTAAACTCCAGCAGTTATAATTCTGGTCTGTCCAAACTTCCTCATGAGGCAACACGCCCTTTCCAGGTGTCAGTCAAATATATCTTCTCTGAATGGCTTAATAATACCAGTAAGTGTAAAATGAGTTGCATCTTTATTAATCATATGAAAATGGCTCTTTCCCAAAATAAATACATTTTGATTGTTAATTTAGGAACTACTATTTTACTCATCCATTTTAATCCAACACGTCCTTCTTTAAATAAGGTGCCCAGTGCTGTACACTGTACTTTGGCTGTAGCCTCATCAACGCCCTGTTTAACTCAACATAATCTCCTTACTTCTGTCTTCAATTCTCTCACAGTCTAAAATATCATTCTGTTAGCTTTCCTAATTACTTTCTGTACTTGTGTATTAATCTTTGTGATCATTCACTAGGACAACAGATCCTTCTGCATCTTAGAGGTTTGCAGAGCTCAACATTTACATATATAGCTTTTTAGATTCTTCCTGTCAAAATAGATAATTTCACATATTATACTCCATTTGCAAAATTTTTTCTCATCACTTACTCTATCTGTATTCCTTTATTGCCTCTTTATGTTCTCTTCACAATTTACTTTCTACCTGTGTGTCATCAGGAAATTAGGAAGCATGCTTTGGGCCCTTCATCCAAGTCATTTATTAAACTATAAAAGGTTGAGGCCCCCATATTGAACCCTGCAACACATCACTCATTGCATCTTACCAAACGGAAAATGAATTTTTTATGCCTTTTCTCTGTTTCGTGTTAATTAGTCAATCTGCTATGCAAGCCAATATGTTACCCTCTGCAGCATTAACTTTTATTTTTTTTGCAATTATTGATGTGCCACCTTATCAATAACCTTCTTGAAATCTAAGTTCAATACTGGTACCACTTCAGTCACAGCAGCACATTACTCCCTCAAAGAATTCCAATGAACTGGTTAAATATGATTTCCCTTCTCATAATGCAGACTGAGTATAACTAGTTTGCACAAATATTAATAGAAAACAATTCTATCATCCTCATTTGAGGCAATTGAGGTTATTTTTTCATAACATTTTGCAGATACTCTATTAAATTCTCTCTCTGCATATGTATATAATTTATATCATAAAGGGTTCAAATTCACGTTTAATTTTACTGCTCACCATTCAATATGACAGTTAACTATTTGATTTTTAAGTTTCTGCAAATAACTCAGAAAGTGGATTTTTGCAACCTTTGAAAACAGTTCCTGACATAAAAAATAAGATTTAAAATCGTCTTATATAGCATTATACTTACTTTGTGTTTTATAATCACTAGGGCTTTATTAGGTAAGTGCTATTAGAAAGAAACATCTTAAAAAAAGGTTTGTCTGTATTTATTTTTTTAAATATGTATTCACGTAGAGTGAGGAAAAACTATTTTAGCTGAGAAATTTCTACATAAATCACATAATTGGATTTCTTAAAACGGACTTGCCTTTTGTACTTTAGTCTATTCCACGGAACATTAATTTACTACTCACACTTCCCACTTTATGAAGGTTTTAATGTTATTTTGTACGGCGAGTTCTGAGCTGTCTCCCGAAACTGGTTCTCCAGGGTGTGAGCCCTGACTAGAAACGATCTCTGGGAGTAAAACGTTTTCTGTGTGACTCAGTAACGACATGCATCTTTGTTTACACCACGAAATGAATATAAATAATCCAAGGACTGAAATGGTGCTGGCAGCAGGTGTAAAAACAGTAATATAGAGTCTGGCCCTTTGCAGTTTAAATGTTCAGTCTTTGTAGTGAAACTGAAAAGGACTTTTCTATTTCCTGCCTATGCTTTATTTTTGTAAGGTTTGGTGATGAATGTGTGAATCAGAGGAAATGCAGCCCATTAACTGACAAAAGATTTATTGTCACAAAGTATATTTTAGCATAAATCTTCGGGCGAAGACGATGCTTTTGTCAAGTGGAAATGTCATACAGCGTTATGTTCAATCTCTTTGAATTTAAAACGAAAATAATTTTTAAAAAGGGACTCTCCATTTTAGCAGCAGAATGCTTGAGTTTTCCACTAAACTATCGAAAGGCTATTCAACATAGATCTTGACATAAACTTTTTATTGGCTTCAAGTCGCATACAATGCACTTTTGTCGCGGAATCGAGCCTCTACGCAATGCAGTTCTGGTTTCTAACTTTTCTTTTGATTAGCACGAGGGATATTCCATTACTTACACTTACCCATTGCTTGAACAATCTATTGTTTTCATTTCTTAGAGCAGCTAACGACAGCAAAGCCTACCAAATACACTATTTAAAGTCTGCGGGATGCAAAATGTCATCAACGCGAGTCAGCAGACTCGATGTCGAGACACAAGAGAGATGGAATGGGGAAAATATTCCGAACTATATGGAAAGTATAAAAATCAAAGCTGTTTAATCAGTGGAATGTGTTAGGAAAGAAATTCACAGAACTGTTTTGTTTTAGATTGGGACTATTAGAGAGAGATATGAATTAACAGGCGACAACATATTCGGTGCTTCATTGTAATTGGATTTAAAAGATAAATATGTGAAATGTGATTGCGTTAGATGTCGAATTATGAGTTTTCTTGTCCAGCATTTATTCCATAATTTCAGAAAGCGGCATTGCAATGGGAACGCTGATGGCAATTCCTTACTATTTAAAGTATCCTTAATGATTTGCCATTCGGTATTGACCAGTGACTGAAATTATAATGTTCTGGTTGAAATAAGCTTCACACAATTTTGAGGACAGTGCCCGGTTTCATATGGGATGTGGCCATGAATCGGGTTAAATCGCTGCTTTCTTTTAACAAAAGTGTTTGGAGTTGGAAAAACAAAAAAAAAGCGAGTGCAGCCCAGAACCAGTCAGTTAAAGGCTATGGGGAAATATACATGTCTGTTTTTGAAGGTGAGTGTTAACTGAACGAATGAATCAGATCAACACCAGGTTTGTTATATCAGTTTACGCCAGTCAAGTTGGACTGATTTTGACCAATTTAAGTACAGCTTGAATCTGCACAAAGTTGATGCGTGAAATAGTTGGTTGCGTCCTCTGCTCAGGAATGACTGAAGCCAGGTCGCTTACCTGAGCCGTCACTTTTCCTTTTGGAATTCCTTTTCTCTGTCTCCACTGGAGTGACCGCCGGCCTCCCGTAATCCCCCGACACACAGGACGGGGGGTTGTTGGGGGTCAAACTGGGACTGCTGTCCGCCAGGCTGGAGCCCAGTTCCGGGGTCCCGGATTCCGACTGGAGACAGAGTGTGTGCCGCGCCAGGGGAGGAGGTGAGGAGATCTGAGGGATGTGCCATGTCGCCTGGCCAGCGGCCGGTGCCTGGGGTTGCTGCTGGGGATGACCTCGGTGGTGATGATGTAGGTGATGATGATGACGCTGAGCTGTAAACATGCTTTCTTCATTAGGAAATCCCGTTATGATACAAGAAGAAGAAGACAGGTCTGGAAAAGCCACATGGTCTGATCTTCCATGGAGAGCTAGTGGAGACTGAGAGAAGTGGTGCAGGCTCTGCGCTGGAGCATGTGAGCCGCGCAGGCAGCTAAATATTGTATGATCCATGGGAGCAGGGTTTCAGATTCCAAGCGGCTGGAATTATATCCAAAGCACCTTCGATTTCAAAGTAAACAGCTTCCAGGAAAGCAAGGTTCTTTAAAAGCGATCTGGATCAATCGCTGTTTAACAGCCGGGAGCCCTTTGAATAAACAGGCACACACACACACACACACACACACAGCTAAATTTCGGGTGACAAGTGGAGCCAATCGCACGTTGTCCCAGGGAGCTGCTTTCAGGGGGAAATCGTGGAAGATATATAAATAGTTTGTAATGTGAGAGGGGGGCTGGATCTAAGGCAAGGTCCCAACCACATGTGAAGCTACCTCCAAAAAAACATCAGCCCTATAAATCATGGCAATTAATGACCGGAAATTCGCAGGCGCAGAGAAAGAGAAACAAGGTTTTGTACCAGTTTAAGGGCAGGCTTTATTCCTTATTTCGTATAGCTGTGACCTGCTATTATCGATGTGAGAATTGTGCGTTTGCAGATGTCGGGTGATGTTGAAGAAATGGAAATGGGTAGGTGTGTGTCGGGGGGGGGGGCGCTGGAGGGGGGATGTGGGAGCAAACTATTTCTCCCCCACCCCCCAGAAAAAAAGAAAACCTCTAGGAGCTCCGGGGTGTCAGATGTCTCTAATGTGCCACACCTTAGGGGGTAGGGAACCTGTGTCTGTCCGTCAGTGACGCTAGAGCTGTCTCTACAACACAGCCCAAAAGCAAGGCGTCCCGCAAAGCAGCGAACAATGAGAGCGAAAGGGAACGATTGATCCTTTCATCGGAGTCCTCAAAGCAAACACAACCGCACATCTTCAGATGACAGAATAAATTCCTAACCGATGAAGTCACGTTTCGGTGTTTGGGACTGTTAAAAAGAAACTTGTGAAACAAAATACCCCAGACATTTCCCTGCCCCAATCGACCTTCCTATCTATCTGTTACTCCGTCCTCATGATGGATGTTTTGTTTTGCAAGTGAATGTTTTCAATTGTTAATAAGAAAAAAAATCCTGTTTAATAATCGCATTTAATTCCCGGGATTAATTGCCCTTTCCCGTGCTCCTTTTCTGTTAAATCTGAAACAGAGTCAAAACGGAAAGAGATTTTTTTTTTAAAAAAGAAACAAATCATTTTAAAAAAGACAAAACGGATTTAAACAGAGTAAAATTCCTTTGAAACGCGAGCTTTCACATTAATCATGCAAATCCCCACCGCCTCCCAACCAGAAAAAAAAGGTGTCTCAAACTAATTCTTCGAAATTCGTCGCCAGAATTAATTTTAAAGAGTTGTCAGTGTCCGTAGTCAATTCAAATGTTTAAACCAGAAGGGGGAAGGGAGATTGTCGGGAATTATATAACAGAAGACTCCCAGTGGATGAAAACGCGTGAAAAATCGCCTCTGCCTCGATATTCTCATCGAAGGACAGAATTAAGTTGGAGCTGTGTTTTCCTGGAATCACATCGGTTGTCCGAGTGTTACCCATTCTGTGGTTAAAAGTAGTTGATGCGAAACGATGTTTTCCTTCATTGATAAACCATTGGGCGAAAATGAAGATATTTGTTATTGGTAAAATTGCAAAAAAATAGGTATCTGAATGCTAGCAACTAATCATTTCTGTAAACTATTTGGTTTTCCAAAAAAAAGCAGAAATTAAAAAGAAACTCTTTTGAGACGAATGTCAGAAAGTCTATTGTTGGCACGAATGTAACGTGATTTCTGCTGTCGCTTGTTTCTTAGAAAGGAAGCCCTGCATTGCTTTTCACAGACATCGGTTTGTACAAATTTTTTAGAGACTCCGAACATCTTCAACGAGTGAAGCCGATTAGGTGGTAGTTGAGCTTCCTGCCGGTGTGGTTCAGGTTGTACGGCGATGCACCAGCGAAGTTTCGGCGGATTTCTGTCTCCGTTCCACAGATGTGACCAGGAATTGTCACCCAGGCCCCTCATCCCCTCCCCCGCAATGTTTCACCCACATCAGTGGGGGCTCAATTAATTTCGGAAACTCGGGACAGCAAAATAGTGTATTCCAGAGAAGTGTCTCCCCTCTGAGAGTGTGTCCATTGACAATGAAAGCGGCACCTCTATAAAAAAGACTGGGATCAATATCATCTTCAACACAACCAACGTTTAAACAGAGTCTGCACTACCGATTCTCCATCCCCTTACAGATAATAGCGGCACTATTTCAGAACAATCTCACACAGTGGAAGGGCCGAATAGCCTCTTTTCCGCGGTTAGGAATCAATACTATCCGAGTAACGAGATCGCTGGCAAATTCTAAACTGTTACCGATCCCCGTTTGACGCTACTGATAATTTGAGAATTTTATTGAAAAATAAATGAAATCAAGTTTCTTCAAATTCCTCCAGCTGAATGGTTCCCTCAGTGTTCAAGAGCTGTTCTTTGTTGAGACAAGTACATGTCATAGTGTTTTGAGTGAAATAACATCAAACGTGCTGAATCAGGGACCTTCTGTTCCTCACATGTTCCCATCCGGAGCAAGATCCTCACAGCAGGAGCTGAACTCAGCTGAGTGTCACTTTGGTGATAGTTTCTTACCATGCTTTGGAGGTTGATACGGAAACTTTTATTTTAATAAGGGGATTACTGATTACTGCGTTAATGTGTATGTGCAGTGAATTTTGGAGTCATTCACTGTCTAGGAGTGAACTTTTCCGTCCCGAATGTTGTGATACTGCGCTTTTCAGGTAAAATCAGAGTTGCTTTTTCCCTCGGACGAGGAATTGTGGAACGAGTCAAAGGCTATTGCACAGTGCCAAATTTTCCCTTCAGTATGAGTTTGCTGTGATAGATGTTACCCTGGTCGTATAACACGCTGGAGTGGCTGACCCGCTTTTAACAAAAAATAAAACACGACTACAGAAATGAAAAACCGCCGAAGTTGAAAGTATGAAAGAAAAAAACAAATGGTGAAAATACTCAGTCTGGCAGCATGGTGAAGAAATGTTTTTTTTGTCAACTGGACAGAAGTGAGCTGAAACGTGAACTCTACCCGAATAACATGCTCATTGAGTCCTTCTCTCTAAATAACATGCTCACTGTGTATTTTAAAAGGGACCGAAACAGAAATTGCTGAAAAAGCTCAGCAGGTCTGGCAGCATCTGTGAAGAGAAATCAGAGTTAACGTTTCGGGTCCAGTGACCCTTCCTTAGAACTGTTTCCGATTCACAGCACCCGCACTTGTTTCTGTTTGTTTTTATTTTGAAAGGGAATCGACTTGTCTGAAATGGACTTTTGTCCCTGCGTCTCCATTTGGGAAATAAAGTGATAGCAGCTACATTTTGCAAAACTCGCTTTGATTTCTGGCACAGCGTGCGACCAGCAAACCTTTTCACCCCCGAACTCCAAACATGGAATTCTTTCCCTTCAGTTCATGATCGAGATACTTGGCAACATGTTTTTGAAAATGCAAACAAAAATAAAACTTGAAATAATTCGAGGCAACATTCTTGACAGCTATTTATTTAGCTTAGATATAAAAAAAGTGGGGAAAAAATCGAAAGCCAACAAATTGGTACAGTTACAAAAAGTACAACATTGTTGATGCTGGAGATCCGACATGCAAATAGCAAGTGCCAGACAAACTCAGCGGATCTGGCGATATCTGGGCAAAGAGAAACAAATATTAACGTTTGGAGTCCAATCTGACTCTTCATCGGAACAAGAGACTGAAGAGGTTTGTGTATTCAGTCTGCCTGGCCGCTGCCACCTGGTTTCAGGATCGGGGATCTGTCAGAAAATACTGCGCGTTAAACACAACGATTCAGATTTCAGAAGATGGCACAACTCAAGTAACGGGAACCAGATGTCGCTAGACTGATGTCCTTACAATCTCCTCACTAAGCAACCAAGAGATAATCTTCATCGGTTTGATACCGAGAAAAATGCTGGGGCCGGGGTGTTCGGAAAGGCTCTTTTACTTGGAACTCCTGACGGGGAAAACGACCGGGCCCCAGTTACTGAGCCTCCAGATCTCTGGTTTATTAGAGTTCAAATATTTTCAGGGGATTCAGCGACAGAGGTCATTTGGAGGGGTGGATAAAGGATTGCAACTCCTGATTTTCAACAGATCATCATAAACAGAACGCGTAAAATCTGAACGTGGAAATCAATGTATACTTGTGTCAGATTAATTGAAGCTGCCTGTTGATTGCTACGTTCTGCAGATCTGCAGGCATCTGTAACTCCAGGAGTCACATTGCGTTTTGATGAAGGGCGTACACCCGAAACACTAACACATCTGTTATGTTTTTGTTTTATTTTACAATAACAAACCTAGTCTCTTCAAAATGCCAACCACCTATTCAGTGTGTCCAACATTTACTCTGTGAAATACATGTTGTTATGATTGCTAAAACAAAAAGTTGTGACATGTTCCAGGCCTTCCTTCTCTTCGTACGCAATACTTCAGACTGATTTTATCGCATGCAGTGAGACACTGAAATAATCTCACCGTTTAGAAATGACTTCTGAAGAGTCACTGGACCCGAAACATTAACTCTGATTTCTCTCCACACATGCTGCCAGACCTGCTGAGCTTTTCCAGCAACTTCTGATTCTGTTGTTGTTAAAAATGAGAGGACTCCCTTTCAAGAGAGATTTTCTTTCTTTCTCTCTCATTAGTTTGTGGAATTCTTTTATTCAAAAAGCAGTGAAAAGGAGTTAATAAATCTGTTGAAGGTTGAGTTTTGATGAGCAAGGGATTCAGAGGTTTTGGGGGCAAACAGGAAGGTGAATTTGAGACCACAATCAAATTGAGCTCCAAAGCGGGATTTGAGGGTGGCTCAACCTTTTCAAATGAACCACTGCACACAATCCTTTCAAAGTCCTCAGAAAAAGGTGCATCTTTGTAACAAATGTGAGATCCACTCTGCCCAAATGCCACAGAATGACCATTTCTAACAAGTGAGAATCTAATCTCCACTTGACACTCAAGAGCATCATCATTAACAACCTGGAGGTCACCATTGATGAGAAACTTTACTGAACCAGTCATATTAATACTGTAGCTACACTCCTGCAGTCACACACCAGGGAAGATGTGAGAGTGCTTGAGAGAATGTGATTAGTTTTTAC